ACACCCCCCACCCCCATTTTAATCGTTCTCTCCTCTCGACCTCCCCCGCCCCTGCTTCCCCGTCGTCAATCGCTCTCTCCTCAGTTCCTCTACCCCTCTCTATACATTATTTAGCCGATTTACCTTCTTACCTTAATTTCGTCCACAAAACGGGTGAAACCCGTTCGTTTGAATCCAATTCGTTTCCAAGAAAGGGGATGGTCTCGTCAATCCCTCGTCAGTCTCTCTCTCTCTCTCTCTCTCTAGAGAGCATCGTGGGGAGAGATTTTCTCCCGAGGGGGTCTGGTTAGTGTTTCTTTCGATTTTGATGCTTCTTGATGGCACGATTGTAATTTTTCTTTTTCTGATTTTGAAAATTTGATGTTGTGAAGGGATTGTGATGAGGAGGTCGTTGGTGCTTCAGCTACACAAGACGGAGGGTCAGGGAGGGGATTATGCGGAGTGTCTGCACTCGCCAAGGAGGAAATTCACTGATTTTGGTAAATAATTTTTGGTGATTTGCATATATAAAATAGATGTTTGGGCATTCTAATAATATAGAAAAAGGAATTTGGGCTTCCATTGTGATTTATAGCTCACATTTGATCTAAATGATATAGGGTTTAAAGATATAACCTCCGAATTGTCAATGGCGGCTGAGGCTGAACTCTCCAAACACAAAGGAGGTATCTTTAACCATTATGATGATGCCATCGTTATGTAATTTGTAAAATGAAAATCCACCCCTCCCCTTCCTAAATTCAAGTAAAGCTAAAACCTGAGTTTTTTTTTCTATTTTGTGCTCATTTATGTAGTCTGAGATGTCTATATCTGGTTTAACGTTTAATTCCCAAAAGATATCCTGCTACGCGGCACGAGCAAGAGGTTCTAATTTCTCTGTTGGGTCTTCGTCCTTGATTTCTAATGGGTTCATTAAACTGAAGTTGAGATTTTTATCTCATACGGATAGGTACTATGCATAATGGCATTTGCTTCTCCAAACCCTTTTTAACTTATTTTTATTTTGATGATTTCATTCGACAAGCTTCTTACTTGAGTTCCTTGGGGTCACTACATTACTGTAGGAAATATTTGGCCGTGACAGTTCGCAGAGTTTCGGTTGGAAGACCCGTCAGGATAAAGAGCAGCGTATATGCTGCATTTGGTGACATGGCTGATGATTCAACCCGTAGATACCCTCTTTCTTTTAGTTTCTCATGAATGCTTGATATTGGTGTTACGAACATCATGCACAATTATTTACGAGATATGTGCTATCAAGTATATGCGTATTACAAACAGTGATACAGTTTCTCTTAGCCAGACTAGCCTAATATGACCACAATGACAATATCCTATGCAAACGAAAGAACTTATTCAACACACACACACACACACACTTGGGTCACCAGTTAGAGACTATTTTGTATTATATCCATCAGAAGAAGCAAATATAAATATGATAACACCAATATTTGATCTGTATCTGCATCATTTACTCTCTTTAAAGCCATTTACACCAATATAAATATGACGACAATAATATTTAATCTTTCTTTGTTGATTCAGCCATTCAGGTGTCTTTCCAAGGATTGACGTAAAGGACCCTTATAAACGACTTGGAATCGGTAGAGAGGCATCTAAAGAAGAAATTCAAGCTGCAAGGAACTTTCTGGTAAACAAATATGGGGGTCACAAGCCAAGTGTTGATGCAATAGAGTCAGCTCACGACAAAATAATAATCTTAACTACATTTAAATGGTCACAAGCCAAGTGTTGATGCAATAGAGTCAGCTCACGACAAAATAATAATCTTAACTACATTTAAATGCTGAGATTGTTGAGCAGGCGAAGAGGCGAGCTGAGATGGCAAGGTAAAATTTGAGAGATCTTTGATTGATGCTCTTAATAATTCTTAAAATTTCATACCTCTAAAAACTAAGCTGTAGATTTTGGAGGCCAATTGAGATTAAATATTGATTGATATTCTTAACTACATTTAAATGCTATACACTAGCGTACCACATGCTAGGTGTTGTTTCTACATGCTCCTTCGCAGTATGCTGATGGGATTTACCGGTAAAATTTTGAGAATTGAGGAAAGCTATTGAATTATGTGCAACTAATAAGGATATATCACCAACATCACAATCATAGCCATAAAAAAATATGTCGTTGCAGCTTTGTCTTCTGAGTACTATAGGATTTCTGTGGACTTCTGATAGTGCTTCTGGGAAAGAGATTCTGCTCCGTTACTGTAGACTTGAGATTTCTTAATATATTTTCCTGATAGGATGAAGCCTTAATGACACATAAGAAACCCAATAATGATAGAAGTTATTGAGGGAGTGGTGTTACAATTATCCTATGATGTCCTGAAGCTTCAGAACTAGAAAAGTATGACTAATTGAAAATATATACATGTCTTCGGAGTTTAGACTTAGTGTAGAGATAGATATGTTGATTTGTAATAGCATTTTCTTTGATCTTAGTATCAATCTCTGGGCTCTACTCGGTACAGAACCCTTGAGAATTCATTTTGGTATGCGAAAGCAGAATTCAATAATTATTCAATTAACATAATAGTGTAGCATAAGTTGTCTGAAGGATTGGCTGAAGTAAAAGGTGCATGAAAATAAGTAGAGAGCAAAGCCAAATGCAAGGATTGGATCTTTTGAATCAGGACTCACAATTTGAAAGGTCATGTAGAAAATTGATGGAAGAAATATTTGTTCTGTAAAAGAAACTGAGCAAATAATATTTTGTATGAAATTTTCATGTAATGTAGTTAATATATTTATGCATGATGTTTGTTGGCTATTTATTATTGGGTTGTTGGATAAGACTAGCAGAATACTCACAAAGAGGCCATCTGAGGTTGAAGATTGAGAGGTTATTCATCATCCGGCTGCTTTTTTTTACCCATGTTATTATTTTATTTATGTTTATCTTTCATGATCAGTAATGTATGCGAGTTTCCATCTATATCCTAATAGTTTCTTTGAATATCTAATCAAACAGTCTGATTTTCAGGCTACTCTTGCTTCATCAGATAACAAGGCTAAAGACTTGGATCAAGCGCAATCTGGGAAACTAAAAACTGAATCCTGTTGATATACAAAGATTGGGAAATGTGGAAACAGTAACTAACCAAATAAGTAATATATTTGTTTCTTCAGCAGCAGAAGTAGCAAGCTCGTTTTATTTAAATCACTCACAGCACTCTCAACTTGTCTTGGAACAGCATCAGGATCATCGATTGAAGAACGCAACAACAATACAAAACCAAACTTGTTTATTTAAATCACCAATACCTATAGTGTACATGTTGATGCAAAGTCAAAGACTTTGTTTGTTTGTGCAAATACAAGCATCGGTGGAGAACTGAAGAGTCACGCTCAAAGGGTTCGAGGTCGGCGACGACAATGACGCTGAAACCCCTACCCATGAATTATAAGGCGGAATACTTTGCTCACTCCTGAAATAATTCCCTGCATCAACTTCCCTCTTAATCCTTGCCAGCCTCTTGAAGTTCCCCTTGAAATTCCTCTCCCCCCAAACCCTAGAGTCATTATAGCTGGGAAGAACCCTCTTGTTCCTCCCCAGATCGATGTCCTTGTATCCGTAATAAGAAGGCCTCGGGTTGCTTGTAATGAAATTACGCATAAATACCGATATGTTGTTCATCATATCCAAATGCTTCTGGATTGACTGGTCATCGGTTCTAAACCATCCCGTAAAGTATTGTATACTATATAAGTTTCCTTATCGATGAAGGAATGGTATCACTCCTTCTGATATATCCTCCATTGTTCCACCCATTGGTAGCTGACGCAGCGCGGAAGTTGTAACCTCGGAATCCACCAAGGGTGTTCTCTGAATCCACAAAGAACGATCTTCGAATCCACGAAAAGCTTCAAATCCATGAAGAAATATTGAGGAAAAATAAAATTTTATTTATCAAAAGTTATGCCTCTAGGGCTTACAAGACTCTTCTTAAATAAAAAAACAAGACTCCTACAAGGACTCTAATTCCTACAATGACTCTCAACTTACCAAAAATGGTAAAGAATTCTTAAAATATTAAAACTCCTAAAAAGACTCCTTATGATTAGAAAAGTCTAGATCAAATCTGAGATCAAATCGGATTTGTTTCCTAAACAAAACAGACTCCTAAAATATTACTAAAAATAGTAAAAAACGAATAAAAATGCAAATATCTCTCAAACCGTAAGGAATTTGGCGAAACTGAGAACGCAAACCGAACCCGAGGGGGTCGGTTTGGATGGCTTAGTGCATAATAAATCTCAGTGCATTGGCATTTCTTGTCATATTTATACACTCTAATGGGCTCTTTAATGAGATGAACTATAGAAATTCCTATTTGTAGTATGATCGTGAAATTTACATGACTACTTAATCAATTGGAATTGGAACTGGAACTTTTAGGTTGGCCTGTTAGTAATTGATATTTTTAGTTAGAACCAGAACAATTGCATCAATGGAATTAGAAGCATGACATTTTTGTTGGATAAAGTGGGATAAATAGTGATGCCTGGCATCTGGAATTCTCCATGGAGTTGTTATATATTTGGAGGCCAGTTATAGATCTATTATATGTAGCATGGAAACTTCAAACTTTTGAAAATTTTTGGTGAGCCTTAACAATTTTGAGATCATTCCCATGTGTTTGTATTGTTCACTAGGGAACTAATACTTATTATTATTATCGACTTTAAGAGATTCACAGAATTATACTTTTTCTGGGTAGCATAGAATTTGCTCGCTGCAGAGGGTTGATCAAAGTCTGCTGTATCATGTGGTCATCCTGAAATGCTCTATTCAACATAATAGACATGGTCACCTTATCTATAGTTCCTATCATATTCTTTTTAGTAGATTAGTTGCAACTGCAAATATGATGATTTTCCTCCTGTATAGTTTGGCATGTTTTTATCACCAAATTTTGGTTTTAGGAATTAGTAAATTATCAGCAATGACTAAGGACCAAGGTGTTAGAAGAGCAAATAAAGAGATTCGTAGAATTATACTTTTTTTGGGTGGCATAGAATTTGCTCGCTGCGAGGCTTAATCACGGTCAGCTGTATCATGTGGCCATCTTGAAATAATAGACATGGTCACCTTATCTGTAGTTCCTATCACATTCTTTTGAGTAGATTAAGATAATCAGATTTATGAATATTTAAATTTTTGGTTGTTTATAGAAATTCTCATGAGATTTAAGAAAATGGGTAATTAAGAGAAGTTGAGTAAAGGAAGTCATCGTATAATCGAATAGGGTAACTGGGTTATCAAGACAATTGAAGGATTATGACAATTGAATGAATAACCAAAATGTTATGTATATGCATTATCTTTTTTGTAATAAAAAAAAACAGATTAACCAATTGAAGGATTTAGATAGATTACTCCTATTTGATTTGATTTCCTTCGTCTGTTTATAAATATGATATTACATATTTCATATTTATTATTCTGTTTTGGTTTAGCTATATAGATATGAATTTACATTCTCATATATAATCATATGTTTCATACTCTATTTTGTTTAAGAATATATTGCATAGAATATGAAATTTTGAGAAAATATTGTTTTCATGGTTTATGGACTTAACAATCATTCATTAAGTCCACAAAATCATTTTATAAAGTTTCAAAACATGGTTTAGCCAAAATGTCAAAATTCATGTGTTCACATTTTCATGTTTTAGACTATTTTAAAAAATAATGATATTTCTCATTTGGGAGGTCTTTTTTGAAAACTAGTTTTTGTAGCATGTTTATTATCATGTCTACAATCATTTTCCAAAGTTTCATAATTTTTGGAATATATTTGATATTTTTTAACATGGTTTAAAGTTGGGTTTTTCTGTGCATTTCAGATCTGTGCACGTTTAGTCGACTCATTAGTCGACTCATAAGTCGACTCACGAAGTGCAGTGGAGTTGTAATTTTTCTTCTGCTGAGTCGACTCATATAAGCCGACTCATAAGTCGACTCATGAGTCGACTCATAAGTCGACTTATCAGAGAGCCGTTACACAGTAACGGTTAGTTTCCAGATTTGTTTATTTTAATATTTTATGGGATTTTGTTGGATTCTTGGGCTGGTTTCTTCAAGCCTATATATACCTCTTTACATCAACTATTTTAATCAACTAAGAGAATGTTTTAAACAAGTTTAACAAGGGTTTAAATTTTATTTTAGTTTGTTTAAAAGAGTGTTTAAGAGTTTTGTTTGTGAAGAGAATTTCACAAGAGCAAGTGGAGATCATCCTTGGTGTTTGAGCATTCACTCTTCTCCCTCTCTCTTGTTATCTATAGAGAAGTTTCCCTAAACTCAATCTAGCTTTACATTTATATTGTTTAATTATCATTTTATTAAGCTAGTGTTTATATTGAGTTTAGTTGATTTTATTTACTCTTTGCTTACACACACAACCATTGAGCTTATTGTATTTGCATACATTGTATAATTGGGTTGAGGGATTGTGTGACTTAGAGTGTGAGCTTACATTGTGTTCTCATCCATTATAGAGAACAAATTTATTTGTATTATGTGCCTAATTGTGAAGTTCACTTTGTAATACACTTGTACACCGAGATGAGTGTGTGGTGAGGACGGAGTCAATACCAAGAGGAGTGGCGTCGGTGACCTAGTGAGAGGTGATAATTCTGAGCACTTAAGGGAGTCGATACGTGAGGAACAACACTTGAAGTTGTAGCTTGTGTATGTACTTTGTGAGGATTTGTGAGAGTTGCCGGTTGACTTGATAACCGAGTGTGTAGAGTTTTCGATTAGCTAGAAAACCGAGTGTGTAGAGAAGTTCCGGTTTTCAAACCGGGTTGTGTAGTGGATTCTCCCTGGGAGTGGGGAGCGGAGACGTAGGACGGAAGGTCTGAACTCCGTGATCATTTCCTTGTGTTTGAGTTTAGCATTGGCGTATTTATTCTTGCATATTGTTATATCGCCATTGTTGCATGATCATATTGTTTACCCTTGTTATATTGTTATATCGCCATTGTTGCATGATCATATTGTTTACCCTTGTTTATATTGTATATCCTTGCACATATCTTGCATGATCATATTGTTTACCCTTGTTTATATTGTATATCCTTGCACATATCTTGTAGCATATCATACTTACTAGGATATATTTGTTAATCCGATTTTAATTAGCATAAAATCGGATTAGATTAGCATAAACCCTATTCACCCCTCTCTAGGGTTCTTTCCTAGTGGCCTTAGGGTCTAATAACTTTAACATTATATCAGAGCTTGGTTTAGGGCTTCCTAAATAATAAAAAAATTTCAAATAAATAAAAATTTCCCTTCTTAATCGCCGATCTCAGTCGCCGCAGGAGATCTCGACTGCTGTTGATGAGTCTGCCGCTGCCAATATCATAGATCTCGGTGGAGATCTGCTCAATCCTGCAATCTCTGTCGCTGGAGATCTGATTGTCCGCTATGATCTCTGTCCACAAATTGTCGTCGTGATTTTTCAACACGATCTCCGCTAATTGAGAGCGATTTAATTGAAGATTTTGTTGAGATTTATATAACCTTATATATATATAACCTTCAGATTCTATTTTAAACCTTCTGGTTCTATTCTAACCTTTGGGTTTTTTCGTTCAAATATTATTATCTTGAACTTCGGTTTGTTGTTATGGCTCCTCTAGAGAAGATGTCAAACCACCCCTGCCCCTCAATGATCAAAGTGACCGTGCAGGGTGATCCACCATTATCACCAATGCCTTGTGTGGCCTGGTCTGGTTGATCATCTCATCAGTACGAGACCAGTTCCACCGTCCATCAGCATTGTTGCTTCATCTAATACTATGTGGTGATACCGATCTTCAAACCGCATGTACTCTCTATGTCAAGAAGAGTTTGGACTGGCAGTTGCAGGAATTTTGTGTTATGGATTATCTCATTCGCTGTGTTAGCTCTGGTCTCACTGTCGAAATTGGTTCGCTTCCCTCTGCTCATGACATGTGGACTCACCTCACTGAGCATTTCACTGAGTGTTCTGATGCATGGGAGGCATATCTTCAGCAACACATTGCTCTACAATGCAAATGTAGTTCCTCTCTGCAGTCTTATTTTAGACAAATGTAAGTTTTTTGGATAGAATTACGCTCCATGCTTCCTGGGCGTGATTCCACATATGAAAACTGGCTAGCCTGGTACGAACGACATGAGGTGCATCAACTATTTTAGTCTCTTCTTGAATATTCAACTATGGCTAATCAACTACTTCATCAGTCTTAATTTCTAACTTTGGCCTTAGTTATGGGAGCTCTCACTGCTTATGAGACCCGACAGTAGACACACGACTCAATTTATCAACAGACACTCCTACCTCTTCACTCAAGACTGCTCTGTCTGTACTTGTCATTGCTCCTGTTATGAATCATATTTCTCAACAGGCTCACTCTCTATAGGCTCGATCTAAGCTCTCTTGCAAATATTACAAGAAGGAAGGACACCGCATTGAGTCATGCTTCAAGCTTCATCCTGAGTTACGTTCCTCAGGTACTGGTTGTGAGCGGCGACCCCGTCAGTCTCAACCCTCTCGTACACCAGGATTGTTGGCCAATGTAGGATCTGAAATAGATACACTAGAACACTAGAGGGGGGTGAATAGTATTCTTTTAAAATT